CCTCCCAGAGTGTTAGGATTACAGACCTCTGAGCCACCATGCCCAGCCTTTTAGAGCCTCTTGATACTTATTAAAGGTGCACAATTCTAGATACCCTGAAATCCCAATGTTAGGGAGAGGACTTTATGGATTCTAGCTTTTACTTGGTACCGAGGGCCTACATATTGCTCAAAGAACTTCTCTAAAACTTCTTCAGACCCAAATTATACCAAGAAACAGTCAACATTTTTAAGATGGAAGTAGAGGAATTAGATGTAAGTGGCATCACTAATTTTGTTTAGAAACCTATTTGAATTCATCTGGGACAGGTCACTGCTTCCCTAAGTGGAGCTGTATCACTGAAACTGAACTACCTGAAATGGACCACCTGTATTCACTAGTTTTTATCAGTCTCCTGTGTTTAGACCCAAAGGTGAGCCAATAAAACTTTCTTTAGTATACATCTACAGCCTACATCTATGAGTATGTTAAATTCAAATGTTTCCCTAAAAATGTACAGACACTAACCTGTGTATTCTGTTCCAGAAGCCACCGAAGAAGTTGTTGATGCATTTTCCCAGTCCTTTTCTCCATTTCGACTGCCACAGCGACTTGGAGATAGGAAGCCTTCTACAGACTCTGACCTACATGGTAAATAAAATCTTTTTTTTTGTCTCAAACAGAGAAAGAATGGGGGCCAGAAAGTGTATGTGAGAGTACCAACCAAAATCAACCCAGAGGCTTAAAAATAGTAAGATGAGATAACGTTGCTTGTCTTACTCACAGCTAAAACATCCAAGTTCCTAGAACATCACAGGCACTCTATAAATATTTGATGAAAGAATGTTTTCCCACATGACAATTGGCAATTAACACAAAAGGATGGTAATACAAAGATTAAAACTCTAAGATGACTGTCACTGAAACATTATTTTCTGATATGGGTATTTCATTACCTTATAATTCATTATAATAAAATACAAGATACTGAATATAAAGTAATAAAATACTTTTAGCCTCTGATCTATATCCCAGAGAAAGAGAATAAAAAAGAGATCATTCCTAAGTCAGAGGCAAGCTACTTTGGAATTATTATAATGGGGATAAATTCTTTATATTCAGTGGGAAATAAACTAGAGGGCTGGCATCACATAGATTATGTACTTCCTATTTCTACTGACCATGATTTAATCATAATCATGCTAGCAATTGCTGACACAGAATTACTGTTAATGTTTCATACCTTATAAAAAATATCGATGTTAATAGTTCTAAATTCCAAAACATAAAAAACACTGAAAGATAAATAGATTTCTTTACGTAATTTAGGATAACATATAAAAATTTGTAATTATGATTTAGCCATTATAAAAATATAAAATAAAAACACTAAAGAATTTTACTTAGAATTTTGTATAATCACAGGGACCATATTTTACTCTATAAAAAAATATTCATATGTTATGGACTTACCTTGGTGTCCTCTTGCCTGAATGCACACTCTCGTTATCACCTGTGTTTAGCGATGCCAAAGAAAGGCTAGAGACTGAAAAAACACGACAAATTCGTGATCCTGAATAAAAGCAAAATTAGAAATTTAAAAGGAGCAACTAGCAAAGAGTCTGTTCATTAGATAACACCAGCATATGAAAATTAAGCACCAGTAGTTTCTTTTCCTTTCTTATTTACTCTTAATCTAAACATATAATATGCTTGCATGCATATATATACACAATTTATTTAAAATTAGCAAGGACTTACTTTTAGGAAACAATGACAAAACTAACTTGCTGTTCTAAAAGCAAAGTGCTAATATGAGATATATTGTGATCCTAAAGAAAAAAAATTAGCAAAAAGAATAAAATATGTTTAGGACTATCTCATTCCTAGGTGGAAAATTAATTTTCTAATTTCATCCAATACTGTGTATTAAATAGCTCCACTGACTAGAAAAGACAGAGTTCTCTTTGAACAGTCAATGTTATGTTAGTTTTCCTCAGGTTTAGAATAACTATGG